AAAAACAGTGACTAAAAAATCTTTAGTAACTAATTTAAACGTCTTTAAATCTAAAGTTTTGGTTATTTCAGAATTAGTCATACCGTTAATAAAATATAAAAAAAATTATAAAACGATCAAAATAGCACGATATAATTTTTAAAAAAAAAAAAAAATTCATTTCTATTTTAAAATCGTAAAAGTGGTGAAAAGTTCAAAAAAACTAACCTTATTCCTTAATTAATAATTTTTCCCAGGTATATTTATAAATATTATAAAAATCGTATTTACTACATTTTGAATCTCCTTTCATACTATTTTAATCGACGAGGAGACACGTATAGAAAAATTGTTGTTTTTTTTTTTTTTACTATTATTTATCGATTATTTTATATTAACAATTTAATTTATTGTTTTAATAATTATTTTTGTTTAAATCATTCTAATGATTCAGCAATTAATTCCTTTTCTATCTTGTATCCAAAATATAATACTTTAATTTTTTCCTCTTGTAATTGAACGTTTAAATTTGCCAATATTTTCATCTTGATTTTTCTTTACACTAGTTATTTCTAGTTTATTTATTTACTTATTTGAAGATAATAATAATAATAAATATCATCATTACTCACGAAAAAATTTTTATAATTTTTTTTTTTTTTTTTTTTTTTAAATTAAAAAATAGATTTATAAATCTTTTCAAGTTTTTTTTCCAGGTATTTTCTATTTTTTCCTTAGAAATAACATAATATGTTTTAATGAAACCTTTCCTTATGTTTTCCTTTTTCCAAGCTACTTGTTAGTAAGTATTTTTTGTTTTTTTTTTCTTCTCGGACCAAAAATAAATATTCAATAGTTAATTATTTAATTTCTTTTTCCTTTTTTTTTTTTTTTTTAAGGCTGACGCCAAAATGGTGTTTGATGTAATTCAAAGAATGGAAGATACTGAACCTTTTTCGGAAGAATTACTTACCGCCATGAAGAGATTATGGATGGATGTTGGAGTTCAAGAATGCTTTGGACGATCGAACGAATATCAGTTAAACGATTCAGCTAAATAGTAAGAAAAACAAAAAAAACATTATTATTATTATTATTTATTATCAGGTTTTCTTGTAAAAAAAAAAAAAAAAAAAAAAGAAAAAACCGAGCATGAAAAATTAAATTTTATCATAAGGTAATGAAAAGCAAAATACAATTATCTGGGGAACGAAGCAGGGGCGCGGCAAATAAGACCCCGATTCAACGATCGCGTTAATCCCGATTCGAGAGCTTTCGAGGCCTTCGTCGAGGGGATCAGAATGCACGTGTGACGTCATCGGTTGCTTCGTCCGACCACGTGATCAGGGCGTGGCGATGACGTCATAGAGTGTGTAGGTCGATATTCTTCGTATGCTTATATTATTTCTGTTTCTCCCCTTTCGTTTCTCGTTCGTCGTCTTATCTTTAAGGAAAAATACATTGGACTCTTTAACATGTTTTTACGCATGAAGATGATCAAAGCTAAATAATGATGATTATTAATTTTTTTAAATACGAACGTAAATAATGATCGGTGTTTGTTAATAACAGAAATTTTTTTAAAATTTAAAATAAACTTTAAATGAAATCTGCCGCAACCCCCGAACGCCCCTTCTTTTTTTATGTGTGAAACTTTTCGAAAAATAAATAAATAATTGAAAAAAAAATGATTTTCTAAAAGTAAATTTAATATTTGATCATTATTACTATTTCGTTAAATTTTAACTTCCAGTTTTTTAGATGACTTAGATCGATTAGGAGCCAAAGATTATCAGCCTACAGAGCAAGATATATTGAGAACTAGAGTAAAAACCACTGGAATTGTAGAAGTTCATTTTTCTTTCAAAAATTTAAATTTTAAGTAAGTATTATTATTATTATTATTATTATTATTTATCACTATACACGCAATGAACAAAACCAATTTTTTTTTTTTTTTTTTTATTCTCAATTTATTCTATTAAATTATAAGAAATATAGAGTTATACAAAAACTAATTAGTCATTTCTTTCAAAAAAAAATTATTATTATTATTAAAAATTTCAAGTCAAAAACTTTTAGTTTTGTTTTGAAATTATCATTTTTATAAATAAATGAAACACAAAAATAGAAAACTTTTTACCTGTAATTTAAAAAGCTTTTATTGTAATAATTTAAAAATAAACAAAAAAATATTCCAAAAAAAAAATAAATAAATAAATATTGCGAATAAAATTGTTCTGTCTTTTGATGTTTTAAATAATATTAAGGTATTAATTTTAATTTTTTTTTTTTTATTTTTATTACAGATTGTTTGATGTAGGAGGTCAAAGGTCAGAAAGAAAGAAATGGATTCATTGTTTCGAAGATGTCACCGCCATTATATTTTGTGTAGCCATGTCAGAATATGATCAAGTACTACACGAAGATGAAACAACCGTAAGTTATAAAAAAAAAAAATTTCTTTTTTTTGTATTAATTACTATTTATTTATTTAAATATAATCTCAGTTTAAAACAATAATATTATAGTTATAGTCGGTACAAAATTGATGCTATAATATAAAAAAAAAAAAAGAATATATATATATATATGCCGATGCGATGAATTGAATATCGATTGCAGAGTGAGCTTTTAGCTTGTAGTGAAGCCCTGTTGGTTACCATGGTAACGTCCCTACGGTTCCCACATCTTGCTTTTCTCATCTTGTTCTTTTCATTACGTGAAATTCGAAATGATCCTGTTCATTTTCTACATTAGAAAAAAAAATTTTTTCCTTTTCTTTTTTTTTTTCCAAATTTCAATTTTACTAGAAATTATTATTATTATTTACTATTTTATTACTTATTTTTTTAAATAATATGTTTACATGGGGTTTAAAGATTTTATTCCCAAAAAATTAAATTACACGTTTAAAAAAAAAAATTTTTTTGATCCATGTCGATTTTATACTATTTTAATATTTGTATAAATATCATTTAAGAGTGAGTAGCACTCGTTTCACTCACTCACTCACTCATTTAAAAGTTTATCAAAAATGTATGTATGTATGTGATTCTAAAAAAAAAAAAAAATTTTCATTTTCTTTTCAGAATCGGATGCAGGAAAGCTTAAAACTTTTTGATTCTATTTGTAACAACAAATGGTTTACCGACACCTCAATTATTCTTTTTCTAAATAAAAAAGATTTATTCGAAGAAAAAATTAAAAAATCGCCTCTTACAATATGCTTTCCAGAATATTCAGGTATTTTTTTTTTTTTTTTTTTCCTATTCACATATAATTTTTTTTGTTTCAAAGATAAAAAAAAAAAAAAAATTTAACCTTGTGCGTTTAACTAATCATAGTTTTGTGTTTTGACCACCGCGACCACAGATTTTATAATATAAAAAAAAAATCAGGGA